AATTGCCCGACAAACGCGCGATTTGCAAATCGCTTAGTGTGGATGGGGCCTTAATTACAACAGCCTGACAGCAGGTGGTTAATTATTTAATTCATAAATATTCTTTGTTGATTATGAAATATAGTTCTATTTTTTTAAATGTATTATTATTTCAAAATGTAAATAATTAATATTTCATTAAATATTATTTAAGTTATTACATAAAATAATGTGAGGATTTCGATCTGTACTTCATTCAATATGCTATGATCACATTTTCTGCCTTATGTAATGATGGGGTCATGGGGTTAATGTGATGTCACAGGGTCGCAGCATACTCCTGGGATTGGTTGGTTTTTTCACTGTGGTGTGTATAGAAACTTGTCTCTCACCTCCCATCTGTATCACTTGTTTTGCCTGATTGAAGAGAATCCTGTGTGACCCCGAAACGTCGCATTGTGTATCACTGCTACTCATACGTCAATAAACACATTTGATTCACTATTGGAGTGCCGGAGTCTCTGTATATTCTACTAGTTATTCATCATGGTTGCCAGCCATTGACTACCGCAGCACCCACCCTTATCTCTTTGGAACAGCGTTTTTTGAGTGTGATGGGTTCATGGATTTTATCATGAGAAGAGTATGTCTCAAGAGGTCATGTAAGATATGTACCGCAGCTCCATGAAATTCAACCAGACCCTGATGCCATGCCTGATGGATAAGTTCCTCCTTTTATAGTGAGAAAATATGCATGGCATAAGACATCTCTTGGGACAGGGGAAGCAGCTTAACACACACCTTTTAACGGTGTACTTGATTAAGTTCGAATTCCGCTGTGGGAGGCTTACTGAGAAGCTGATTGAGAATGACAATCGTATCGCGTAGGTGAGTGCCTGCGATTGCTGCAGGAATGCCCCCTCAGAGAAATGATTCTGTGGCTTCTGTTAGCCGCATCATCAATATATAAGGTCATGTGGAGCAGCTGTTTACGAGTAGCAGCAGAATCTGACTCAAGCGCTGCCACTCTTGCAGACATCGAGGATTTCGTTGCCTCCACCACAGTCACCCTTTCGTCACCTGCAGAAAGATGTTTTATGTCCTGGAGCCCATTCTTAAGTGCATCAACAATAGAAGCACCAATGGATTTCAGATCCCTCTTAGTGGAAAGGAGCGGCAGAAACCCCTTTAAACCACCTTCATTTAAGACATCTTGGCAGGGATAGGTCCAAGGGGATGGTGAATCAAAGAATGGGCACTCCCATGATCCTGGCATCCATGGCACTTGTCCCAGGTGGGACCTGCTGCAGTGGATCAGGTCGGCGCCATGTTGGCGGCGAGAGGAGAGCTCAGGTCCAACAGGTGGCGAGTGAACAGACTGTAAATTGGCGCCAGTCAATGCTCACCGCTAGTGCCGCGAGTCTGCCTCTCTTTCAGTATCAGGAGGAAAAGAGTGAGTTGCATCGTCCGGCCTGGCAAAAGATGTGCACAGCTCCAGCAATGTGCGTCTTGATGAAACTACGCCCCTAAAATATGTAATTTAGCGTGTGCAAAAAAAATGCAAAAAAGGCTCTGGTGGAGAAAAGGTTAAAGCACAGACTTGTCTGTGTATACTCACATACCAGAAAGTGCATTACTATTTTTTAGGAAGAACTGAAGACATAAATCTGAGTACAGCTTAGGACAAACTTAACATTTCTAAGAAATGGCAAATAGAAGAACAGTGCATTTTTGGAGTTCCAGTCCACTTTAACCTTTCTCAATTCTAATTGCTTGCTGCAACTAAGCTCTTGAGCAGGAGTAGAGGTAAAAACCACTAGGAGGAGCAGGCCTTTTTTAATTGGTAGTGTCCCTGTTTCATGTATGTGGCAGTATTTGCACATGCGTAGATGCGTCCATCCACACTGTTTAGTATAGATGTAGGAATTTGTTATATTTGTTTCTGAATTAAAAAAAAAAATATATAACCACGTATGGCCAGCTTTAGGGCTCACTCACACCAGGAAATAGTGAGACAATTGCATGGAAGCATGTTGTGTTAGGCAGCCCATTTAAAAATGATGGGCTGTAATAAACAACTTGGGAAAATGTAGGTTATGCTGCATATTCCGAAGTGCAGCATAACACACATTTGGGGGAATAAATAAAGTGTTTGAGACAAGTTCTGTCTCAACTTGTGTGGTTGCCAATAGCAACTGTAGCGCTACCCCTGCAGGAGCCGCTGGTTGTGACGGGTCTTTCTGTCCCCCTGCACCAATGTACAAAGGTGGATCCACAGCACACCAACAAACCTTTAATAGTTTTGTAATGGATTTAATGACTGTGTAATATACAATAATGCACTTAGTGGCTTACCAATCACATGCAGTACAATTAATGACAGGCTAAGGCACCCTGACATTCTGTAACCGCGGTTATCTATTGCCTACACAGAAACTTGTGATGCCAGACTGTCTCAGAGAGAAATCTTGGGATAGATAAAATCAACAATAATATCTCCCCTTGGAAGTATCACACGCCCTCTAAACTACTGGCCAGTAGTAATGTCCTAGGCGAGCCAACGTTGGTGCCCATACTGTGTAGCAGATGTGTAAAAGTACATTGTCACATTGGTCTTGGGAAAAGATTACGTCTGTCAACAGCAGATGGAAGTCCCTCTTTCGTCAGAACGACACTTGGGAAGAAGGGGAGGTCATCTATGGTCTCTGGCAACACATCACTGCTCGTCTAGGATTTCTTGGAACACATCACCGTGTCAGGTTCGCCGAATATGTGTACTCTTTTGGATCTCTGCTGCGGAATTTGGAGATCAATTTATTTGAAAGGAGGGTTTTTAAGGAGGTGGTTCAGTGAACGGTACCCAATTACACCAAGTGCGGTTAGGTGGCCGTACTCATCATTTGCCACCGGGGGGACCGCTAGGGGAATCTGTATGTGGCCCTGGGTGTTTAGAAGACACCTTACATAATATACGGGGTGACTAATTGGCAATGCAGCTGGCGGTTTGATCAGGTGCAAAGGAGTAGTGTGTGCAGACTATGAATTCTGGTACAGGTTGCAGCAGTAGGGGTAGGTAATGCGTGTATGCTTAATATAGGCAAGGCAAGCAGTATGGCAGTTAGTCAGCAGGGTATATTGATATATAACTCCTCTCCTCCAATTATAATTCAGGTTGTAGCGATAGGCATAGGCAATCCCTGTAACTTAGTAGTTATAATGCAAGCAGTATGGCAGTCAGCAGGTCATAGTAAGATGTAACTCCTCTCCTCCACTTATAATTCAGGTTGTAGCAATAAGCATGAGCAATCCCTGTAAGCTTAGTATTTATAATGCAAGCAGTTATCTATATGTCCTCCACCAGTAAACTAGATCTGGTATGCGATACACAGTTCCTTTCAACTATAACGTTAGGTTCAGGGTCAGTGCCCAGGGTACTTGCGCTTAGTTGAATCAGCCAAACGAGTTGTATGTCAGAGCCTCCGATCCGTTAGACTGCAGGTGCTTCAGAGGGGGTGAAAGAGGTAACTGCTGCATACGATGAGTCTCCGGACTGTGGACTGCACTGGGCGAGAGGGTAAGATACCGAGGTTCACCGTTCGTCACTCGACGCTCCAAAACGAGAGAACGCCGAGTGACGAAAACAGCTGAGCCTTTCACTGCTGGGCTGCGCCCCGTGGGCGGAGCCTGTGTGACGTCATCGGCGGAGTGAGACGTCGCTGGATCGCAGGGAAGCGCCGGGTAAGTCTATGACACACCGCTCGTCTAGGGTCATCTAAGGTCTCTGGCAACGATCACCGCTGGGTTTTTTTCGATGCCGCTCACTCAGCTGGGCTGGATAGATCACTCTTGCAGCTGGATCGGCTGTACGTCCAGGCCGCGATATTCCCACTGTTGCCGCGTTACTAGGCCTCAGTTCAGGCGCCCGATCACCGTTTTTTCCCCTCAGAAAACGAACATTAGTCTTTCAAGCACTGCGATACAGAGCCTGTGTGTCCCTGTCTGGCAGAGGTGACCACACAGCTCTGTTACAGGCAGTCTTCAATCACACTGTGTGCCATATGTCTGCACACATCAGATCCCGGTCCTCGACTGCCCACGCTCCGCAGTTACAGCCCATAGTCCCCCTCTCTTCCTCTTGCACAGCACCATGGGAGATGCCATTTTCAAAGTCCTTTCAGCAATGTATCCTTTTCTGTTCTGCACTACAATCTCCATAAGTCTCCGCCTCTCTTTACACACAGAGACAATTAACTGTTTGTAGTCAGAAATAAAGAGCCTTATAGTAGCACATGTATATAACTATATAAGGGCTACACAACCTATCCACTTCTATCTTTCATATTTTTTTTTTCACACAGCTTAGAAAATGTAAAAGCTGATTGGCTGCAAACCAGTTGAGACAAAGTTAAGACAAAGTCTCATAAATTTGATTCCTCCCATTATGTGCTGCAGTATGTTGTAATGCAGCTGTGTTCTGTAGGTGCTTTGGCGTGCCATTGAATGGCAACATACTCATGCATGCTTCAATAATGAACACATTTTACTGAACTGTAGTTTCAATGGGACCCTTCATGAGCGTTATAAAAAGACCTCACTGAACTGTAGCTGTGGGGCAATTTGTCTTCACAATTCACAGTAGATGCAACAAAGTTGTTTAGGTACCTCAGCTAACCCTGATCCTCTCTCCCAGTGCACATGCTCTTTATTTACATTTGAGACTCGCTGCTGGGAGGGCAAATCAGAGTTCTCTTAGCTGCCTGAGAGAAACTTAGTTATGCATGTGCAGGATTTTAAAGATTGTTCTGAGTGCTAAAGGGCAAACACATTGATGTCCCTCAGCGAGCGTGGTAGTGTAAATTGCTAGCTTGAGCCATCTACATTAAGTAATGTTATTTTAGGACTTTGAAGGGGAATCAAGTGTATGCACTTTTTAAACATGTCTCACATTCTTTGTGTTCTTATTTGGAATCCTTATTGGTTAGAATAGAATTACCAGATTTTTTTTTTCCTCCCCCTTCCAGATCTTGAGCCTGATGACAGTGCATCATTTTATATCTTCAATGTAGACCAGCCCTTATCGGCAGCAAGCCAGCCCATTTGTCTCCCATGGCATGGTCCTCAATCTCACCGCTCAGCTTGCACTACCACCTCCTGCTTTCAAGGCTTCGAAACCTTTGATGGCACTAATGAAGTCCAGGAACCTAAGTATGATCCTTCAGGAGGACCAAAGCAATTTGAATGTCCTAGCATTCAGATTACATCAATATCTCCTAACTGCCACCAAGATACTGAAAACACACAACAACTGCAAAAAGGTGACCTTGAAAATGATTTAGCTGAAAGGCCTTCCCGCGGCCACCTCCATCTCCAACTTGAACCCTCTTATAGGGAGCCGTCTTTAAGTCCAAGCCCTGGGAGTAGCATATCTTCCAGAAGCTGGTTCTCGGATGCTTCTTCTTGTGAATCAGTTTCCCACATCTATGATGATGTTGAGTCTGAACTGAATGAGGCAGCAGCACGTTTCAGCCTGTACTCGCCACTGACATCTCCCAGCTGCTCTCCTAGAGGTTTTGTTAATGATGATGCATGGCAATCGTTTGGCTATGGTGCTTCTCTATCACCAAGACAGTTTCCATGCCACTCTCCTAGAACTAGCATTACTGATGAAAACTGGCTTAGCCCCCGGCCTACTTCAAGACCTTCATCAAGGCCGTCATCTCCTTATGGCAAGAGACGACACTCCAGTGCAGATATCTGTTATCAAAGTTCTCCCCATCACTCCCCGACGCCATCGCCTATCCTTTCTCCTAGGGGAAGTGTTTCAGAAGATACATGGAATAGTTTTTCTCACAATGCAGCTAATAGTGTGTCTCCCTCTCAGTGCTTCCAGGAAACGGATATTCCTCCCAAAACACGGAAGACTTCTGAAGATCAAAGTGCCACATTGCTAGGAAAGCTTGATCTTTGTATTGAGGAACAGGGAAATGTATCGCCAACCCTTGAAACACCTTCTGAGGATAGTACTGGTTCACCACTTTCACTCAGAAAAGACTCTTTCACTGATAATTTTTTGTCAGTTCCATCCCATTTTACATGGAATAAACCAAAATCTGGGCACACACCTTTATTTCGGTGAGTAAAGCTATGCATAGTAGTTAATTTAGACTTAATTCTTTGACCTTCAATAACTAAAGCCTGATAAACTAAACTATACTTTACACTGAAATGAAAAGTAAAACGTATCTTAATCAATGCAGCCTAAAGAAATCAAATGACCATCACCCCATCTTGCTAATTTTGGCCAGAACTGGCAGCAATCTTAAGTCTCTAAGGGTGGGCATGTGTAGTAAAGGGGAGTATCTGCTTTCACTGCTTTTCTCCTGAAGTCGCTATGTTACCACCTGCTGGCTATTTTACTATATATATGGCCACATAGTAATTATGTTGTTTTTAAACTATAGTTTCTGTACAGCACTTTTAGTGCCATTTGGAGAGACATATGGAGGTTGGAAAAATGGTCTTTACAAAGGCTATTGGCCTAGCACCTTTCATTGTTGGCGAGACAGTGAAAACTAGTATTTTTTTATAGCTTTCTAATTCTGTTGGGTGTTTATACTTTAAATACATATCTGTGCATTAGCCTGCCAAAATACGACCCATTTACTGGCATTTGCACCACTATTTACACACCTTATAACCACTTGTGGTGCACAAGGTGAATGTAATTGTTTAAAAATTGCAGTGGAAAGCATCATTTGTAATGTGAAATATTTGTTCCATAGAAGACTTAAAACTCAGGATGTGAGTATGAAGACTGGTGCAGACATGCACATTGTTGTAATTTTACATCAAAAACAGTCTGCTGTCTTGTTTCTGATGCTACAATGTGTCTTCGGAAACATGGTGGCAGACTGCATTAGATACTACCAAATGGGCATGGCTGTATACCTAGCCCTTCAAGCTAATTATTCTGCCATCCAATGGATGCCTGCATACTTCTACTGTAGGTGCAGATTACACTTGACAGAGAGATGTCTATAATGTGAAATTCTTCCTCCCCCTGACCACTGATGTTAGGAGTGCAACTTTGAGTCCACTGGCCACCCATGTAAGGGGGGCACTTTCGCGTCTCCTACATCCTGTGTTACATTCTGTACATTCAGGGTTGTGGAAATAAAAAAAAACTTGTCCAAGGATTAAATCTTGTCCTTCATGACAATCTACTTGTCATAAAACAAAAAATATTTTTAACCAAAACTGTATTTGAGCGTGCCTTGCACTATGCAAAATCCATAGTGCAAGGCCGAGCTGGTCGGCAGTATGGGGTACAGTTAGTAAATCCCTACAGGCGTAGAAGAAGGGCTGTTCGCCGAAAGGTAAGTATAGCAGGTTGGGAAAGGGGACCGGATTTTAGTGGGTAATTCCATTTTCCCAAATTGCTCGGCAAAGTGAACTTACCCTTTACTGCACATTGTGTGTGTTAGAGAACGCTGTTGCCTGGCTACCTCAATATGGCACACAGTGGAATGAGGGCAGCACTCAGCGCACACACACAATGCCCTACACATTTGTTTATTCACATGCAAATGGCGGGAGTGGCAGTGTTTTGGTTTTAATTTTTGTAAATGTTTTTTTAATTAAAGAATTTTTTACTTTTTTTTTCAGAATTTGTTTTTTAACCTAACTTTATTGCTAGTAGAGCAACAATTATTCGATTTAAGTCGATTTAAAATTGACGATGGAAAACGTCAACGTTTTCCATCGTCGATTCGTCGGCTAAAATTCAAATTTCCTGCACGCTGCTTACGCCCGCCGCTTACGCCACGCCCGCGTCGGTTAAGCCGCTTGCGCCTACTCTGTTATACCCGCTCACGCGACGCCACTTACGCCATGCCCACGCTGAGGACATGCGTCTGGCCCTCTCCTCCCGGTGAGCTTCCTGACTCGCCGCTGCCTGCCGACAACACCGTCATTCAAGGTAATTCGAGATCGGCCGGGAGCTTTTTAATGTTTCCTGTGTGTTGTTTTTTTTTTTTTAAAGCGGCACACTGCAGAACATTAGTAGCTATAGAGGAACACCAAATCCCTGCAATAATACATTAAACAGCCTGTATAATGTATTATTGCTGGGATTTGTTGTTCCTCTATAGCTGCTAATGTTCTGCTGTGTGCCCGTTTATTATACATTGGTTTTCTGCATTGTATTGTGCATGGTGTTCTGCATTGTATAATACAGCGACACACTGCAGAACACCAGCAGCTATAGAGGAACACCAAATCCCTGCAATAATACATTAAACAGCCTGTATAATGTATTATTGCTGGGATTTGTTGTTCCTCTATAGCTGCTAATGTTCAGCAGTGTGCCGGTGTATTATACATTGGTATTCTGTAGAGCTGCAACAATTATTAGATTAAAATCGACGATGGTAAACGTCAGCGTTTTCCATCGTCAATTCGTCGGCTAACATTAAAATTTCCCACTCACGCCCGCCTGTTCGCAACTCCATACACGAGTTACGCTGCGGACGCCATGCCCACTGCGCACACGGCCGCCGGACACACGCCCGCAGAGCACGCTGCCGCAGCGACTTACAAGGGTTCAGAAACAGGTAAGGGGGACCTGTTTTAATGTTTCCTGTTTAAAAAAAAAAAAAAGCGGCACACTGTAGAACACCAGCAGCTATAGAGGAACAACAAATCCCAGCAATAATATATTAAACACCCTGTATAATGTATTATTGCTGGGATTTGTTTTTCCTCTATAGCTGGTGGTATTCTCCATTGCGCTGTATAATGTATTATTGCTGGGATTTGTTGTTTTGCTAGCACACAGGGGCTAACAAACTTCTATGTGATGATGTTTGGAGGTGACAGATTCTGTTTATGGAGCCTGCCCTCCAATACCGAAGACCAAGCACAGCATTTTGCTGGATCTTCTGTGCAGCCTGGCTTGTGACAGCTGAGACAGGGTGGCTGTGAGTACAGCGCTCATACCCTTTTGATAAAGTCCTAAGGACGAAACCTACCGCTCATAATGCTTTTAAATGTTGTCTTTTTGGTAAGCATATAATAAATCTTGTTATTACCAAACGAAATTTTTGAAGTGCTACACCCAGGAGGCTTTTCTTTGTCTTTTTCCCTTTACAATCACCGGTGAGTGGATACCGCTGCATATATAAGGCAGCAGGAGAGAACCAGAGGGGGAGGAGAAAGCGTCGCCCAGTAGAGCTAATTTTAAATAATTGGTGGCTATGGATGATCGCAAATGAGAGGCTGCTGTAACGAATTCTAGTATTGAACTTTGATACTGAACCACCAAGTTATGCCCAGGAAGAAAAGATAAGTAAATATATTTCCCCAAGCTGTCTCAGGCAGAGTTGGGGTGCTTCAAAGGATTGATCGGACTGACCCAGTAGGGCGACAGTTTGGACACCTATGATTGACTCTTTTTGACGTATTTTTTGCATAATTACCTGTGGCATTGTCAGATTAATACTTGATCTATAGAGTTTGCTTTGAATTCTAGAGTGAGTTCACACATGCACATGTAATTTTTGTATAGTAAGTTTGATTAAGATTATTATAGTAAGTTTGATTATCACATATCACTTAGTTGAATATATTGAAGACTACAAGTCCGGACACTGGTAATAATAATTTTATTCAAAAGATCACGGATTCACACAGTTTTATAATAACACAGATTCATTTGTTTACAGAGACCACAGAACAAACATTTATTAATTCAAAAGTTCACCCATTCAAAATGTATTCACCAATTTTTATCACCGTAAATGGAGGAGAATTAGAGCTGGTTCTCCCTGATTTAAATTCACCTAGCGCAACTATTGGCATTTGATATTCACGGGTTTTCACCTTATTGTTGCAGCTGGTATTATAGAATATATATAAAATTTTTAGAATAGTCGACTCCAAGCGCAACTAGTTGTTGTTTATAGTACAGCGCTCCTGTCTCACTGATCACACAGAGCAGATTGGAGAGTGCATGGTCTGCTCCTCGCCATCTAAGAAGCCCACATTGCAGGCTGAAGCTGAGTACACACTTAGTGGGTGGCCGTCTGCTGCCTCCCATCTGAAATACTTTTAATTGTAAAATCGAAGGAGCCAGGTGGAAAATTGTGTGATGACTAATGTTCGGTCAGCCCCCACCCTTCTGGTCCCATCCCCTTACCACCTGTTTGTCTTTATTGTTCGGGGGGG